TCGTTATCCGTCAACATGAAAACCTGACTTTATCCGCCATAGTTGTTACCACGTGACAAGAATCCACTGTTCCGCAATTGAATTGATAACGTAAAATTACGTGATGGGTACAATTTGTCGATATCTTTCTTTCGATGAACATTCACAACAATCAATTGAAAAGGAAAAGAAAAACTTATGTTAAATTCCTAAAACAATACTTAGATGTTTCATTGAAGATTAAAACAGACGCGGAAATGACTATTATTCCGAATGGATGTAGAATTCCCAATCTCGATAAAAAATGAGAAAAAAAGCGAAAAATCAGTACATTGTTATATCAATTATATATTGCGAATAACGGTTCGGGAGCGAGTTGCTAATTCATTAGCAAAAAAAACTATATGATATCGAATACAACAGCACATCCTACTTGTTTTTTTATTAATCAATGAAAAAATTTCATGAAGATAGCCGACAAATTTTTGAAAAATTCATTGAAAGAAAAAAATGTTCTCTAATCGATTGCAACTAATCACCTACGATGGATTGTAATTTATTAGCCGGTCATCGTATGCCACTTTTTAACATTTGAGAATTCATTGATTGAGAGTGGTCGCATTTTTGTATATATTTTTCTAGTCATAGAAAAAAATTCTGTCGGCTAACATTATAGTTTTCATAATTAATTAATTAAAAACGGCTTATGAACTCTCAAACGTTAAAAAATGGCATACAATAACCGGCTAACAAATTACAATCCATAGTAGGTGGTGATTTATTAAAAAATCAATTATTTAGAATTTTGTATAATTTACCATGTTATAAAAAATTGATGATTCCCAATAAACTATCAACTCTCAAACAAATTGCAGAATAGATTCAGATTTGACAAATAATTTGCAATCGATAGGATAAAAAAATTTTTTTTTCAATGAATTTTTCAAAAGTTTGTCGGCTATCTTCATGAAATTTTTTCATTAATTAATAAAAAAAAAATCATCAACTAAGTAACGTTAAAAACCGATGTACAATGACCGGCTAACGAATTACAAGCAATTCTGAATGGTAATTTATTTGAAAAAATTGTTTTGTCGGCTAATTGGATACTGCTCTTTAAAACGCTCCATTGATGGTAGCCCTCTTTAGTCGGAACTTATAAGTACATTATCCCATCCCGAGGAGAATATCCAACTCTTGACAAAACATAAAAATTTTTCACATTGGCTTTACAGTGTCGTCAGAATCGTCAGAATCAATGTGGTCGATTGATGTATAGGTATATACGTGTGTATATTTTGTCGTGTATCCACAGCACTCAAGGCGATTATAGAGAAGGCAAAAGTTTATCTAAAAATCACGTTAAAGTTTGAAGTCGATCGCTGCTATGGAGTCATTGGTGAATTATGGAAGTGACGGTGAAAACAGTGACAATTCAGAGGATACAAAGGTAAGAATCATTGAACTTCTTCTGATCACAGTATTGGCAATGTATCGAAAACTTTGAGTCATGACGACGCCTGTATAGAATTGGTCAATCCTCAATTACTAGATGTAGGCATATGACTCGAATGGATTCCTGGGTTATATATGTCCTAATATTTGGATTCTAGTAAAGTTATCAACTTTCTTTGCTATTTCCTCGTTCACTTAATAGATTTTGGAAATAATTATATAATCAGCACCGATTGTTTATTTTGTAAACATTTGCTGCCACTGGTGTGTTAACGCCGTGATTATCAAGACGTTTTTTTTAAAGTTTGTGTGATGTACAATAAGTATCAACAATTCGGTCGAAAATGTATCTCCTCACTTTCTATTTATGACATCATATTCCTGAGAAAAAATCTAAATCTGTCTATCTGTTAAATCAGTGACGAACTATGGAACAACGAAGATTGCATGATATTTTTGCTGTAATAGAGAATATATAAATACATCACGACCAGTCTTCTCTATATGTACTACTCCTTTATATCGAAGTAACGATGAGATTTTGATGAAAATTGATATACAGCGACTTTAATGCAAAAATGGCTCAGTTGAATTTTTAAAAGCCCGGATGGGCCAGAATAATAGTTATTAATTTTCTTATTTTTCAACGATTAACAGTGAGTCTTATGGCAGTTCATGGTTTCTTCTTAGTTTTGAAAATTCCAACGATGAGTTTTTCATGAACATTTTCGAGCTATATTTACAGATGTGAAAGAACATTTTGCACCTTGAAGAATTTCGATTCATGGGCTATAAATGTCGAAAATAATGAATTAAGTGTGAAATCAAGGGATGTGGCAACAACGCTACTGAGGTTAGGTGAATTCTCATTAGAGAAACACAACATATACAGGGAAACACATCACACAAGCGTGCAAGTCGTTGAGCAATGGTGTCAAGCCAAACTACCACGCTAATCAAAGTCATTAGTACTCTAGCTTGACTCACGCTGTACCGGGAGTACTACCTTAACGACATAGAATAAAGCCTAACAATGATTTATCGAACTCCGCCGTGCGGTGGCAGTGCGTACACGGTGTGAGTGATATCTCAATAAAATATCACCCCCGGGTACTTAGCCGACAAAAGTCAGTAATTCGAAAAACGCACTTATGTACTCGATTGTACATCGTTAGTACATGATTGTACCTATAAAATTCTTGTTTGTACATCAACTGATTTATTTAAAAAAATTAATCAAATTTCGGCATGATCTTAGCCGACAACAAATTAAAAATTGATCAATAAAACCAAATTAGGGGTGTTTTCCGAAGGAAATCGTTTGTACATTACGAATTTCATGTTTTCGTCGTTTGTACATTGATTGTTAATGAGTTAAATCCATTTGAAAAATCATGGTTTAAGTTGCGCGTCCCTATATCATCGATTTCTGCGCTTTGTTCTGTGTTTAAATGGGGTTTTATTGCATTATTCTTTTCTTTACGAGTATAAACATTGAATCTAACAGAAATTGTACTATTGAGATGTGGATTCTCCATCAAACTTTCATTGAAAGAAATATTGCGCGCATCTACGTCATAACAAGACAGGTGAGGGAGGCCGCGGTGAGAGGGCACAATTCATTTTTAGCCACCATGTTCATTTCGGAATGCAGTGGAGAGTCATTTTTGGAATTGAGTATTATTGAAAAGCATTATTGGGGAATGTCCGTACATTCGAATTAATCGTATTGAAATGCATTCACTATAATTTTGAGGAAATGATAGTTTGATTTTGCTTCAATTGGGAGTAAAATCTTTCTCCTTTATGAATCCCACAGATGGAGCTCAATTTTTCAATTTGTTCCTAATTTATAAACATTTGAAAAAAGCCATAAGCCTCCATTTTACCGCACTGCCCCCTACATACATTAACGAGTAGCAGTGATAGGATCTGCGAAAACCCATTTAGACACAGAACAATGCGCAAAAGTCCATAATATAGGGACGCGCAACTTAGACCATGATTTTTCAAATGGATTTAACTCATTAACAATCAATGTACAAACGACGAAAATATTAAATTCGTAATGTACAAACGATTTCCTTCGGAAAACACCCCTAATTTGGTTTTATTGATCAATTTTTAATTTGTTGTCGGATAAGATCATGCCGGAATTTAATTAATTTTTTAAATTAATTATTGATGTACAAAAGAAAATTTTATAGGTTCAATCATGTACTAACGATGTACAATCGAGTACATAATTGCGTTTTTCGAATTACTGACTTTTGTCGGGTAAGTACCCGGGGGTGACGTCTTGTGGCCCCTGGTATTTTACCATTTGCCGAACATTTTGAAAACGACAATTAGTTTTGGGTAGATTGAAGGATTTCAAACAAATACTGAATAGTAATAGAACTAGCAAAACATAGCAATTTAATGCGAAAAACATTTCTTTTATTTGGCGCTAAAATATGAAATTTAACGATGAAAAAATCGATTGTAATCAATTATCATTTTAACTCGTTGCTTAATCGATGTGAGGTTGAACAAAACAAAAATTTTTCTTAAAATCCTCAATAGAGGTAGACCGTGTAATAATTTCTTTAGAATTTTATGGATTTTCATGCCATCGAAACAATAAAGATTCGAAAACGACCGACGCTTTATTGATTGAGCCAGGTCAAAAGAGAAGGGAAAACGATTCCACACATCGCACTACACATTCTCTATGAATTATTTGAGTGAGGACAAAAATGAATTATATTTTGATGCAAGTGAAATCGCTATTCCGACGATTTTTTCGACAAAAAAAGAAAAAAAGCAATGTCTTCTAAACGAATGATCCGATCCAGCGTCTATCTTCAATAGAAAATATTGTACTCAAAAGAGAAAGCTTTCTGACGAATTTCAAGTTGATAGGCTGATTTTCGAGAATCAGAGAGCGTGCACATCGAATTATATTGAAAAACATCAAAATCGAAATATCTCGAAAAATTTGTGGAAAGACATATCTATTCTCAATGATTTTTATGGGGCATTCTCTGAAAAAACGAACCTGAATAAAATTTTGAAATTTGGATTTGCTAATTTTTTTGTGGGTAATAGTAAGTAATGAGAGAAGCATTCATTAATTTTTTCACAGATTTTCTCTGAACCGTTCAATCAAATCAAAGCTTACCACTTTTATTTGACCAGGGGTAATTTTTTAGTTGAGAAGAGATATGAGTGGGTAAAAAATTCAAGAAAATTAAAAATTTTGTCAGATATTAGGTAAAAGTTGAGGTTAACTCTGTTTCCAGATTCAGCTTGATCGGTCAACCCGTTTTTGAGAAATCGTGATTTGTTTATAAATCGTTTTTTCAATCTTTTTTTTTTGGCTCATGATTGGCTCCATGGGAATCAGTTAAAAATTGGAAAGTGAGCCTTGAAATAAATGATAGTTATTGTCATTCTTACATTTTTGAAAAGAAATTGCTGTTCATCGCCTCACTCGCACAAAAATCGAGCTATTACCTTCAAATTTGGACGAGATTGTCCTTTCATTACTACAACGGATGGTCTTGAAAATGGGCTTAATTAAAAAATGACTGCCTTCCCCACCGCAAATCAAGTCGCGAACAAGAATGCAACGTATCTGTTAAAACTGGCAACAACGGGCTGGACATATAATCCGTGCATAAAACAACCGGAGCTACAATAATTCTAATCTGAGTTCGGTGGCATTGAGGAGGCTAATCCGACCATCCGCGTATTTAAATCTAATGTAATCTAGATTAACAATATAAAATTTGAACAGAAAATCACGTTCGACGGTTGGTCCATCCCGGCCTTAAATGAATAAAAATTACTCATGGATTATGCCGATAATAAAAGGGGGGGGGGGGGATTCGCTGAGCTAAAGGTATTAACTCGCCACTAAGGGCTCAAGCCTTTCCTACAATCTACGATAATTTGCAGTCCTATATACACTTAAAAATTGACAAAGGCCCTTCTATCTGGAAGATAGAGAAAATCTCTAGTGCGCGTTTACTAAACAATTAGCAATCATGACGCATTATAAATCGCCAGTGAAAAACTTGTACCTTTGGCCGTGTTTCGTCAACGGAATGGGAATGAAGCCGATTCATTGATTTGTTTTCCATAATTAATTCTAGGCGAAAAAGTAAAAGAAACGAAAATTAACAAATCGTTAATGATCTCTTTTGTGCCATGTTACTTTGCAGTATATGAGGAATTTAGTATTAGGTTTGTATTCTATTGGGAATTACCTGATGATGTTTGGTTTTGCAGACGCCTCGGACGAGAGATGAAATCACAGAAAGTCGAGCCAGCGACGTGAACTATGACCCAGTACGAATGGACATGAGTGAGGTATGGAAATGATGCATGAAATAATATGAATTAATCTTTTCCAGTCCTTGTACTCATTAAGGACAGGACTAGAGCGGAAGTAATATTCTACACCGGTGGAGTAGGGTTGAGGGAAGAGTACTAGGAAATTCACGAAGTTAATGGTGGTGACGAGGTCATGTTTTTTTTGTCTTGTTACGAATTGACTCTCATTCGGGCATGTCTTTTTTTAGTATAGTTTCACTGACATTTTATAGATAAAACATAAAGTAGCTAGCCGATTTTTGCAACTCAAATCTCTAAAACAGCGACCCGATTATTTGTGATCACTTCATTTTTGATAAAAGTTTTTTCAAATTCGTCTCAACTCTACATAATTGTTTGCCGACATGTAGTAACATTTGACACGTTCGAATTAGAGAAGCTGATACAAATGGGAATCATTAGGGGAAAACCTATAATCCATCGCTAGAATTTGTATTTCATTCTCGCCCATTCTTATCATCGCCTCGGCAGTTGAGGAATAATGTAGTGTCGAGTAATAATGATGGGCGGAGTTAAACGTCTTCGTATTTCAATCCGGATTCAGCTGTTGGAGTTAAATTTGTGTCAACGACGGTACGTTGTAATTCAGTTATTGACTGCGAAATCGTAAGTCGACCTTTGTTCCTAGCTCTTCAACTTTTTATCAAGAAAATCCTGAAGGGCTTCACACATTGTATGATTATGCAATGCGATTGTAACATTTCACGATTTAATCCACACGCTAGATTAGGTGCTTTCGGGAAGTTGCAATGCTCCTTTTTTATGAGAAATAGGCAGCCCAGACTGTGAACTCTTTGGCATTTTGGGTGGGTGACACTATTATCGACCTACTCGTTTTGTTCTCCATGAAATTTTCATACATCAACAGGTGTATATATAAGGTGTGTACATTTCCGTTTATCTACTAGATTTGGAACGGCAGCGGAACATGAATTCATACTTAAAATCATGTGCCACCACCAATTAATTGCGAGCAGCAGTTCTACACTGTTCAAAAGTTTTACCGAAATTTTGCGACAAGTGCCTACTTCATTAAGACTTATAGCCATTTTTCTTCAAATTCATGACAACTGTGAATTTGGGTTGAATTATTTGATGAAAAAATAATACAAGACCACGGTGAAATAACAAAATCGTGATCTATTGGATTATGGATAGGAATTAGTAAATAATAAAAACTAATTAGGTTTAGACTTTAACGTTTTTTTAAACGCACTCAGAAGGTATATCTTTCTCCTATGACCTCTGCAACCCCACTGACTCATAGCAATCAAAGTTTTCACGCTCTGGACCCATTTGACATCAGGTCCATGTTCATTCATCTCTCTCTATTTTAGTTTATATGAACTATTCCCCTTATCCTGATGCTGCTCTAATAAAAATTATAAAATAATAATAGGAGCCAAAACAGCTAATATAATATAAATAAAACAGCTAAAACATACCAAGCACTCTCAATATAATCCTTTTCTGATTTTATTATGTTTATGCAGACATTGATAGAAGGTCGCGTTTCAGTTCTCCTGATAGAAGGTATGTCAATGCCGTACCATAAAAGATTGAATGCAGGAAAGAACAAACTGATATTTTGCCTTTTTAATTTGTACTGGAATTTTCTCCTTTTATTAATTCTTTCTTTTAATGTTACTACTCATTATCAGTGAGATATAAACATGACCAATCAACTGACGTATTTATAAATGAATTCATATACGCCATCAATATTTCAAAGTGGATACCCAAAGTGTATATTGTCATTTGTACTTACCATTACCACTCTCAACAGTGGTTACTAGAGGAAAGAGACCGAGTTGTCTTCATCGTTTAACTCGAATTCATCGTCTGATTTATGACTCATTAATTCGGTGCATTTAGTAATTCACCTGTTCTATTTTAATTTGAAGAGGTATGTGACATTTCGTTGTGTTCTTGGATGGGTAAATCGCAAACAATTTAATAATCCTACAAATTCTGAATCTTACAGGTTTTTCATTTTGTTTTAGCATTAGAATAGACAATTTTTCGTGAATATACTATCAACAAATGACGCATTATCATGGATAGACAGACCGTAATTACTTTCTGTTCTTTGCAATTGGTGGAAACTCAGGTGGAAATTCTCATTTTGGAAATATCTTCTCGGCTTTCCGTCTTCTAATCTTATTCCTCGGGTAACACTTCAGATGGTAAATTCCTAGAGGCTGTGAAAGTTGACAGAGAAAAAAAGGGCAGATGGGGAATTAAAACCTTTTGGATGACTGAGGGGCCCGCTCAGGACTGCTTTACGGCGTATCATGATATCCCCGTATTTTACTATCAACGCTCTCACCAGCTAATCTACTCGGATAAATAATAAGGAGCCTTATATAGTTCGGATGCATTTGTGACCGGATGTTTGAGCTCACGTAATTAGCAACCCTCGTTTTCGCCTTGGGCAGTTAACTCCTCACTCATTACCACTTCATCGCCCTTTTATCGAGATATACTATTTTTAGATCCCGCGAAATGAATACAATATTTTGGCTAACCACAATTAGCTGATCTGGTTCTACTTAACGAGAACTCTCGCTGGCTGCAAGAAACCGTGCAATCCGAAGATATTGGTTGACCCGTATGCTACTCACATTCATCATTATCAATTAGACAAAACCAACATGATCTCGTAAAAACGTGCGGAAAATGCCCTTTATCACTGAAAAATCGAAAATATATGTATATATGAAATGGAATTATATCAATAAGTAAATGGGACATCTCGCCATTTCGTGAGAGAATATTAACACGTAGCTTCTGTTGGTAATACATGAATTCAATATCTACGCAACTTCGGCAAAACGTCAATGCTGTTGCGAGGGCCATTCCTCAAGCTCTACCCCCAAGCCCTAACGAAGCATCATAGGTGAGTAGAGGAAGCCAATACGAAGGTAACACTAACAAAAAGAAAAGATCCTTAAGGGCCGCATGGCCCGTATCTATCGAACGTAATCTTTTGTTCCAATTCTATCTAGATAGCCTGAAACATATGGTTACACGTCAAAATCTTACACATCAATATATCACACGACAAAATATCACAGGATAAGAATAAGGGAAGTTTGTACAGGTTTCCCCATGTTGTGACGTCACAGGAATCGTTCGAAAGGATTGTGGATTAGGTAGGGAGGGGAATAGGATAATTCTCGATACAATTTTTACAAGAAAAATATACTGAAAAAAATGGATAGTCCAGACTGGGATTTGAATCCGGCACCTCCTAACTGAGCTATCCGGCTCCTAGCCATTTTTTCATGTCAGAGTTGTTGTACTTATCGAGTTCCACCGTCTTTCTTACGGCAATCATTTTTCAGAAAAACAGCCGAATTTTGATAGCATTCCACATCTTATGACGTCACGGACAATGGTTAAATAAGAGATAATATGACGTGTGATATTTTTTACAATTATATTTCGACGTGATACCGAATCATATAAAAAGTTCGTATCGAATTTGTGTTGCAGGCACCACTCCAATGGTTATAAAAAGATAATGAAAAAAAAAGAGGAAAAATTATTAATAATAATTAATAAATCTAAATCGCGATAATGATTGCAAAGGATCTACTAAGTTTACAAAAAAATAAAAAATACGCAGCTTACCACTGCTCTCCACTGGTATGAGTGACAGCTAGACGCAATGGTAACCTGCGTATTTTTATAATTTTTTTTTTTGTAAACTTGGTAAATTATTTTCAATCAATATCGCCATTTAGCGCCTTTTAATAATTTTTTCTCTTTTTTTAATATTTTTTTATAAGCATCCGAGTAATTCCCGCAACATAAATTTGATTTCAAATTCTAATATTTTTTAGACTAACAAGATAGAATTTAAACAAAAGATGACGTTCGATAGATATGGCCCATTCGGACGTTAAATGAAAAGAAAGAGTTTCGAAAGGTTAAGAGCAAAAAAAATGCATTTGAGGCCCGAATGGACCATCTATCGAACTCGATCTTTTGTTTAAATTCTATCTTGTTAGCTTAAAATATATTAGAATTTGGGATCAAATTTATATTGCGGAAACCACTCGGATAGTTATAGAACAAAGATAATGGAAAAAAAAGGTGTTTTTTTCTTATATTCCGGCCCTTTTTTTCCCTCTTTTTTAGCTAATTGGCCCTATCCCACCCTATGCATGTGGTTGTGGATCCTACACTGTACCGTATTCACTCTCCTCTAGAACATGGGAGTGACATCGGAAACCACAGGAAAAACCAATCAGGCCGTTGCTGGCTAGATGCCACTGAGCTACCCCCTAAATCGCGAAATTGATTGAAAGGTATTTACCAAATTTACAAAAAAATAATGAAATATATGCACCTTATTATTACGTCTAGCTGTCATTCAATCCAGTGGAGAACAATCGTAAGCTGTTTATTTTTTTAGTATTTTTTGTGAACTTGGTAGATCCCTTTCGATCATGATCGCTCTTTAGCGCCCTTTAATCATTCTTCGTTCTTTTTTTTTAATTATTTTTTTATAACCATTCGGGTAGTGCCTGCAGCATAAATTTGATCCCGAATTTTGATATATTTTAGGCTAACCAGACAAAATTTAACCAAAAGATCAACGTCCATAGATATTCTATGCGGTCTTTAAATTTGTATTAACCAATGTGTCCATTTGGGGAATCTCTTGAGGCTATTCTGTATACTTTCCCATTTTCAGATGTACATACAATGTCACTCATCGAATATTCCTAATTTTCTAATAGAGGTCATTCACCATGTTTATTACTTTTAGCATTCGTTTGGTTCACTCCATCGGTAATCCAAAATCTGTTTGATTGATTCAGACAAATTATTCGGTGAGCACGATTGAATTTTTTCTCGCAAAACAAAAACGGTTCTCGAGTGATTTTACATTTATAAAAGCTTAAGGTTGTTGTCGCGAGAGAGTTAGGCTTAAAATTTACTACGCTCCGGGTTGATCTTCTGCTAAGCGGAGAATCCGAGTTAGAATATAAACTTTTGCAGGTATATAGTTCCACTCGACTCACGCACACAAGTATCTACCATGCATGGATACATGTACACACAGCTAACGCTAAATGGTGCCGATCGTGGCAACCGCGCCCAGCGTATCTCTGTTTTCATGTGTCTCTCTTTCTCACTCAATGTATTTATTTTATTTATAAATCGTCCCTTTGATTCGTCATTGACTATTCCAAATAGATTCGCGCCACTCGAGCAAAAAACGTTGTTGTCGCGTCGCGCGCAACAAACCCATGCGCTCCGCCCACTGGGAGAAATAATGCTACTTTGAAAATTTATTGCTCTACTACGAAACTGACGATCACTTTCTTTTTTTTTCAGTATATTGGTGGTCACTATTTCTACGTTCTGTGTTAATTTCATCAAAAAATGTCGAGTGGTTTTTTTTTTAAATAAAAATGGTGGAATGTATTTGAACCCATGTTAATTCAAAAAATCATATCTCAGCTCAGAAACTGACGATTGGTTTTTTGTTGTGCTCATTTTGGAGGGAATTCTAAGAGCTATCTATAGCGAAAATTTTAAAAAAATCTGCCGAAAAAAAACGGGTTTACACGACAACAACCTTAATAAAATCCTCCACTGCCGACCATTTCATTAAGGATAAAAAAATATATGTCCATTGAGTTGAATCCAACTGATCGAGTCGTACACAATTATTCGTATACGTGCTCCCAGTGTTAAATATTGAACACTTCCATAATTTTGTGATGCATATAAAAGCCTTCCTACTTTTCCATTTTTGCTTAGTAATGCGTGGTCCTCGCAACATCAAAGAAGATTATTTCACAGAATATTAATTTATCAATAATTTCTTTTCTCTCGTATACCCTTTCGGGTCTTTACGGTTAGTTGGTTCCCTTCCCACCCCCCGAACCCCCTGTACCGCATTTGCTTGAAGGGAGGGAAAAACCTCATCTGAGGGAAAAAACCTGCCCAGGTACAGTCGTCCTTTTGACAGGACTACCGCTCGGCAGTGGAACCGTGAGATCAGAGCGCTATAAATTTTTGACCGCCGGTGCCCGGGATCGAACCCGGATCTCTGGCATGCTAGTCTAGCACTCTAACCGCACGGCCACTACCGTCGGTTAATTTATCAATATTAACATCCTGTTTATAAAGTGACACTTTCTTCGACTTATCTCTCCTCTTTCCACGAATTGTACGCGGGAAGAGAAATCCACCAAAAATTTCCAGATAAAAAAATATAAAAAGTGATGAACTTGAGAAATCGCTGAATGTCTCAGATTTATTTTTTTCAATTTCTATGCAACTGCTGGAGAATGATTCCTTGGTTGGGATGATGTGAATTTTTCCGTAATTTTCACTGAATATTTCTCTTCACGTGAAAAAATTTCCCCAGCTGGAGGGAGATTAATTGCCGGTCGATATAACCAACTCGCATGCGTCACAATGGATTTTTTCACACTTGAAATTTCATGATTAATTTTTTTATTTTTTTATTGTTCTGGCAATTCTTAATTTTCAGTTTCAAATGGCACTTAAGAACCATAAAAATGTTGAAACAACGAGTAATAATTTCTCTGAATTTTCAATCTATAAAAAATTCAATTGTATTTAATGTCGGTTTTTCATGACGAGCTTGAAAAATCAAGCTTTCATTGAAAATTAAATAACCGTTTATCGTAAACAAGCCAATTCCTAAATTTTCAAGATAAATGAGGAATTTAGTGATGGTTTTTAATTTGAATTGCATTCAAGCTCGTACAATTGGGAATTCAGATGACTTTGTTGCTGAAATTTTTAAGGAAATGGTTAACAGTGTAGTACCTGAAGTTCTTTGAAGAGTTCATCTATATTTATATATTGCAACGTGATTCGTTACAACGTGCAATGCCATTGTTTATTATAATATAAATTGTTTGTGTTTGATATACCTGTTTGATATAAATGAGTGTTTTACCTATAGTTTTAATCGCTGAATTTTTACATATTTGATGTGATGAAAATGGCACATACGTAATGCTGATTTGATAAATTAGAGTTAATTTATTTCTTTTAAAAAATGTACACAAGAAAACTGGTTGAGAATTTATATTGAATTTTTAATTGCGGTCGCCTTATTACGAATACATTTAAACTTATTAATAATGAAAGTCCCTTCCTATAGGGTCACTATTATCTATAAGAATTTGCGTTGCCATTCACATTAGCTAAGTACTTCAAAACAAAATCTGAAAACACTCTTTTGTAATCTAACTTGATTTAAAAGTTTAAACCCTCTGAGGGTTTTCTCCTGATATAGTCCTGAAATATGAATACGTATTATAAAATCGAATATGTAAATCTGAAAATGTCTAAGTAGGAAATATAGCCCTCCTTTGATTTCTGTCAATCTCCGATGATGAAATTATTAATGCGGTAGCAAAACCACACTAACGAAAATGAGGGTTTCTTTTTAGAATCTAGTTATAGTAATAAATTGTCCAACTTTGATTCTGGAAGTTTAATCTCTTTATTTTCTCGTTGTTATTATTGTTTTTGAAATTGGTTTAATGAGGTTATTTCTCATTTCCTTAGGACAGCAATAATAATAATTCTACGGAAGATTCGGAAAGTGAAAGAGGCAGAAGCCCACAAAAATTCCATGAGTCTGGTAGGATGGACAGGAGGAGGCAATCTCCAGAGCAGAGGTATGATGGTTATTTCCTCTTTTTTCATTCGGAAATAGTTAGGTGATTAAATATAAACATAATGCAAGCGAATAACTTATCAATAACATTTTCCTCCAAACTAATTGACTCTCTATGCAAATTGCTAACGGTTAGCTGTATGCAGATAGTTTATACGAATGCCTGCAAACCGAAAGTCCGTATTATGCTTTTTGACGAACGAGAAGAAAGTAAGTGCTTTCTACTCGTAAGTGCGAAGTACTCACCTTCCTCTGGTTCATCAGCGAGCAAAGAATAATAAACTTTCCGTGCACGGGGTGTGAAAAGTCATATATTTTCTAGTAAAAAAAAATCCGAATTTTTAGAAAAAGATATTTTTATCTAGAATCTCAACTTGTTTTCATTTTATGTCTTTTCAGGCATAGGCCTGGTAAATGTTACGCACAGGTTCTAACCTTGGGCGGGAGATATTATTTTTAATAAAATTGAATCGTTATATTGAGGGTCAAATTCTATAGATTACAGAAAGACCTGACACAGGGAAAAATGCGTTAAGAATTGACACCTCATAATTAACGAAAAAATAACTATTATCTCTTGATTGATTTTCCATACATAAATTTATAAAAACTGAACTTCTGGACTTTTATAAGGCTTGCTTGTAAAAACTGTACAATAATTAATAAATAGTCTGGTTCACCGTTGGGGGGGATAAGCTATTTCGAAAACAATGTTGCGGCAGGTACGGGAAAATGTCAGGGTACTCACTCTACTTCTGGGGTAACACGGGGCTCTTCTCGTCTTCTGGAGTCTCTCCAGTTTCCCCTCCATAATGATTGCTGAGGGTCTTTGGACGAGATGTCGTGAGGGGAGCGGCATCCATCACGGCATCCATCCCGGCGATATCTCTGAGTTCTTCGGGGTGTGAGGGCGAGGAGAGGACAAGAATTTTTGCGTCATACCTAGATGAATAGATCGATTTTATTCCGCCCATTACGGAAAGAAAGTGGCATATTCTATCCCTCAGATTCCTGCGGTTCTTGAGGATCCTCAGGATAACATAACCCACATCGCTCCCGTCATTTACGAATAAAAATCGAACTTTTCCGTGTAGTGATGGCGCAATGAACAATGTGCAACGGCTTCACCTCGGGTTGGTAATTAACACGCGGATGAGAATGCCCTGCTTTCCTCACGTGGGGCGCAATATACTATTCTGATGAATTTAATTAGGTTAGGTATGATAACGTGTCTATCTTTTTGTCCGAAAATAGAGGCAAATTATAATTTTTTTTACCTTTTTTTATCATTTACCTTGGCAAGAAGTGACTCGTACAGTGTCGCAATCTGTACTTTAAGGATATCCAAGTACTTTTGTGAAAATAGCAACTGTTTTCCCATTAAATTTTAGCTTTGTCCACAATTTCATTACTTTTTTACCTTTCCGAATTTTTTTATGTTTAAATAAATTTTTTCAGTAATTTATCAAAGAAATATTGTTATTTAATGATCTTTAATGATCGCATGGCAACGTTATACATGTATAACCTACCGGGGATGGATGCTTTTTGGATAACTAGGGTTTTATACGTTTTTTGTAATATACATTATATTACATTTGTGGGACTTGAAAAGCATGTACCTTGCGTAAAATACATGTACATGATGTCAAAATAGTATATTTCGTAACAAGTGCAGAGAAGTGATTCTTCTGGTGTGGGAAGTGCTATAAAACTCCCGCATGCCAAAAATCAATTTTATGCACTTGTTACGAAACATACTATTTCTTCGCAATCGTGATGAAAGTGTATGAAGTATAATATATACTATATTACATATGTAACATTTCAAAAGCATAATGTAAGATACATATCTTACATTATATACATTTATATAATGTATAAATTGTATTATTGTTACTAAACATAAAATACCCGGTAATTTACGAGTTAAGAGCATATAATTTCCATTCAGATATTTTACCTCAAGTACTTTACATATAAACTCTTGTGAGTAAAATACAATTTACGCGTAAAATACCTACTAATTTATCAGAAGTATTTAACGTTCCCAAACCTAGGTAGGTAACACCAACTCCAGCTAGTTAGGAGTCTCTCAAACAGACTGTTGCCAAACATAAAAAATGTGCGGATTCAAATCATCCAATATGGCCGTCAGCCAAATGTAGAGATTTCCCTCCAACTTTTCTTCATTCTCCGTTATGAAATTCTTTTTTTTCCATGTCTTCCAGAAAACTAGAGAATCTAAGAAATAAAGTCATATGTGATTAATGGTACGAAAAAAAAACGTTCTAAGTTGCCCAACGGTGGGATTGAAAATGCAAGTGTGGTGCTCTTATGAAAACTGCATGGTGAATTTTGTTTTTCCAGAATTTTTTTCTAGAAAAAATGTTTGGAAGCTCTCCTTGAAATTGTACCCAAAGTGAAGATTGAATCTTGTTTTATATTGTCTGAAAGGGATTTTACTCAGAAAAAATTATCGCTATAGTACTTGGATATTCTTAAGGAGTTGTTGTCGATATTTTCTTAATTTTCATGTTTTTTATGAAATTGTATCAAATGTGCCTCAGAAATTTGTCAAAAAAAAAAACAAGATATAAAACTAGTAATTTTTGGTCCCTTAGTCCGTGAAGCAATGTTTCACGATCGCTGCGAGATTGTAAAACCCTGGTCTACGCGCTCACTGACAAAAATAGTATATTTCTCACCTAGGGAGGTAAAGTAAAGAAGGCTTGCCCACGTACAGAATTAACGCCCGCGTCGAAGGCGAGAGTGGTAAGCATGTGGGTAGGCCTTCTTTATTTTACCTTCCGTGGTGAGAAGTGTGTACTTTGCTCCCGCTGGGGAGAGAATATTTTTCGTCACTCGGCTGTTTAGAACTTTTCTGACGATGGTGAGGTTAAAGTCCGAGGTGAGACCAAGGAATGCAAACACAATCGGCATAAAAGTTCTTAACGGCCTTGTGACGAAACATACTATTTTATGGATGGGTAGATGTACGCAAATAGTAAGGTACCACAACTCTCGCCAGCAGTTAGCATCAACCAAGGCAAGGTATAAGTGGTGCCAGGCGAACTCTACAGGCTCGTGCTTCTCATTTTCCGCCGCTTCTTCTTCTTTTCTCATCGTCTGCGCGGTTAGTTTTCTCTTCTGGGTACCCCCGCGGCGGTGGGTTTCTTCCCGCGACGAAACCTCCTATCTTCGGCAGTCCACCCCCACGACAATTGGGAGTACGGGTAACACTCACTTAACAACACTTAATTGCGCGTGTCCTCTACAGATCCTTGTCTAGACTGCAGTCTCTTTATCCTTTGGTAAACCAGGCCCCTTAGGGGCGAGGCACCTTGCTGGGCACGTATTCGGCAGATACCTCCTGGGCACTCCACGGTGTCCTCCGCTAATTCCCGTCCCGTTGCCTTGGATGGATTTATTATGTTAAGTCTATTATCGGGATTCTATTTTACATTTACGCGGTGTATTTGTTATATTTTCCCCATCTCGACCTTCCAATTTTTACTCATTTACATTCCCATTACGGATTTCATACAATTCTCTTATATTTGATGGTCTTTAATCATATTCTCATTTTTTGTACGGGTAATAAATTTCGGGATTGATCAAACTGCTAAACAATGACCGATAAATTTTCCGGTGATACCACAGATGTTGCTAAACAATGAAAAACAGTTTACCATGGAATTTTAATTTGAGATAATTAGAGAAAGCTCACAGATCAGTGGCATCTGTAGGTATTATTCCGAAAAAGAGCCTGTCGCGAAAGGCAAAAACCCAAAGGTATCTCTGAAATTATCTCGTTTAATATCATATGTGTGTAATTTGGCGCAAGCCCTCGGGATTTCGATAGTACAAACGCCAGTTTACGACAGTATACCTAAATACTGAAAAGATCAATAAAATCATTTCGCGGCTTATTCATAATAATGAGAAAAAATGACCATAAGTTATGTAAGAAAATGCAAGAAAATACATCAATTCAAAGTATTTTGGTCTTTATAATTTTGGTATTTTCTGAATACTATCTAATTCTAAATAATAATAACTGTGATATTTAGTATCTAAATAGATATTTTTAAAACAAGTTCGTCAATCATTGGTGCATTAGTTTTTGGCAGTGCACTTATACTCGTTCGCTTTTCCATGTTGAAGTATGCAGGTAAATGATAGTTAGATACTGGTATATGACATTTTGGGATTAGTACACTGTACTATCACGATTATTCCCAAGATCATCGCTCACATATGTACCAACGACTTAATTTTAATTGTCCGTTGAACGGTGCCGTGAAGGGAAATGTTTGGGAACATAACCAAAGATTATTTCAAGAAATAATAACATTTTTTCTAACATCTCATTTCTCATGTAATCTCTCAGAAACTTTAGTGGGTAATCAGCATTTATACCTCCTCCAATTCTTGATGCTGAAAATTGAGGCAAATCCTGATTGTTTGCCCATAACTTGTAGAAACGGACTCTAATTGTGCCTGAACCTAGTTGCAATAAATGAAGTCATCCCTTCAAGACATAAAATTTGTCAGTTTTCATGCTCGGATAGATTTACGGATTTTCCCCCTCTCCTTCTTTTCTCGAAGTAGTTCAACGTGTGGTGAGGTACTATCCTCACCAGCGCTTAGCATTATCTACGCGGAGAGAAATATTCAAGAAAACTTACGGAACGCTTCACGTAATCCGCAAGCGAGAATGATTTTTACGGAACTTCTATAGAATTCGGGTCCGTCATTAAGACAGTACGAATTGTTGTCCAATTTTTTTGCAAACTAGAAAGTCTAACTGGGATTTTACGAATCATTAGGTTCAAGAATTTTTAGGTACCATTTCGTAAATTTTTTGTGCTTTTCAGGTCATTTTTATTGAATTTTTCTCTCCGTGCATGGTTCAAGATGGGAACTTTCAAGCACCATAATATGATTTCTCTCTTCACGTTATTTATTATCTAATAGGGTGCGGCTGAATTTTGTTTTTAATTTCGCTAAGTTGTGTTATTAATTGTTAATTTAATTCAGTTTCGCAGAAAAAATCATTGGACGACTTATATATACTGATCACCCTTCAGTCTTTCATAACTTGACGATACTCTTTTGGAGTGATCAAAACAAATCTGTTATATTTTTTTCTCTTATTCCTAAACCGACCAAAACATCTACGTAGTAAGAGGCCATTATTGAAGAAGTTGACATGCTCTCTTTCCTTTTTCACGAAAGGGTACTTGCACGTTTGGGTTGACGTATGCCCTTCCCTTCTCAGCGATTATCAGCGAAGAGTGAGTTGATATGCTTGATCTTAAGAAATGTGAAGGGCTTGAAGGTCACTAGAAGTGGAAAGTGGGTGAACGGTAAGCGAAAGGTATATAATGGCGTGATAGGAAAAACGTTTTCGTCAATGATGAGAGCCACTTTCCCAGTTTCCTGGGTCTTCCCTTGATGAATGTGGAAGCTGATGTATACGTGGATCTTTTACCACGCTAAAAATCATAGCACCTGGGAGCTGTTTCTATAATATTTAGAACAATTAAATCGTTCATTAAGAAATTTCGTTTGGAAGGATTTAAAAAATTTAAACTATGAATGTTTCAAATACTAGTCCGTATTTTTTAAAGTATTCTGTAGTGCAAAGAAAATATCCACTCCCTATATTGTGCATACCGGCCTGACTTCGTAAAAAACATTATATTGAGCTCCTAATTCTGATTTATAAAGAAGCCGGACGTTGCCTATTCTGCGCTTTTCGTTTCAATTGAAAAATTTTTTTTTAGTCAAAGATTTGATGTCAAAGATTTTTAGAAGACTGATTACATATAGTTTTTAGTACATGCGTTTATGAGACTCTCCCGCGAACCCATCTAACTTGCAATAGAAATCGAAAATTTCCTAAAATAATTTGGCACATTAAGGATCGGCGTTTGTGGCCCTTAGAAACCCCAAATTAAGAACTGTGGATCGTTACCAAATAATCCTTGGTCCCTAACTCTCGTACAAATAATTCTTGTACTCCTTGAGATATTTCTTGACCCATTTACTGTTCGATTTCTAATCGTGATCTTTCAATGACCGACCTGAGTTGTGTCTACGGTAATCCAACTATCCTAGACGCCTTAGAGAAGCTTCAGTCCCCAAAAAGCTTAGATACGCATCCTCCTAGTTTTCTGCACCAAAAGTATTTTAGCATTGTCAATGATAATGTTTCAACATTATCAAACAGTTTCTCGACGGAACCTGGACTCATGGGTAATTCTAAGACTGCTCCGCAAAGTCGGTCCCATCGTGGGAAAACCACATACGTGATTTTCTTCTGATTTAAAGTCCTAAAACTGCTGAAAATGCTTCTCTAATTCATCGACGTAATGAAAATGTCCTCACGATATTGACGATGGAAATCGGACCTTTGTTAGTCCTTCACAAAAAATGATTTCATAAACGCATTGAACTTCTCTACAGTCCCGGACAGTAATATTTCGACCGGCATTAAAGCGCACCTCCCACTACTCACTATTCATCTGAAATTTACCGCAGTGACCTTTGAGACCTCCGCCTTTTTTTAAGGAAATTAACGCATCGAAAACTTCTTCTCCCCCTATAATAATGGCCCCTTATAATCATTCTTTCATCTTCTTCATCTTCACTGAACCGTTCAACTAAAGACCGAAAGAGTTCCTATAAGAGCCAAATAATAATCACAATCTGTGTGGTCAATCCCTGCAGAACGGTAATCCTTTTACAGGCGAACACCAGAACCCCGCACTCCTAGGGATAGCTCCAAGCAAGACAGAGCTGATCGTCTTCATCAGGAAGTACGATCCCGTCGGGAATCAGATGATAGAAGACATGATACGGATATGAAGGATTCAAGAGATCGAAAATCTCGTAGTAATGGTCGTCGATCACGCGATGATGATCGTAGAAGTTCCAAAAATATCTCAAGGGAGGAGTCCCGACGCGACGAACGCGATCGAAGTGACAAAGATCATCATAGAGATCATCACAGAAATGATAGACGAGATAGGAGAAGGGAGAGAAATAGGAGACATTCGAGAAGTGATCGAAAGGACCGATACAGAGATGATAGATCCTCACACCATAAAGACAAGGATAGAGAAAGAGTTAGGTCAAGATCCCGATCAAAGGATAAACCAGTGGCTCCCTTCAGGCCGATGTCATATAGAGAAGAAAAGGGAAGAAGTAAACTAGCACAACTGGAGAAGCTGGGGATCGAGCTGAAAACACCCGATGGCAACTCCGTGACACCTAACCTGGAACACAATTTCTACAACCCCCTGGCCACTGCCACGCAAGGAAAATATGCTGAACAGATACAGAAACGAAAACTTCTTTGGGCAAACAAGGTAATTTTATTAATTTCTCATTGCAATATACAATATGGTAGGCACCTAATTACACGTAGAGTATAATTATGAAATTCAATTTAAAGGATAAGCTTTAGTGAACTCGGGCGAAACCCTAAATCTATTACATTACGAGATCTACTGCGCATTCTCCCTGCGATGAATTTGAATTTTCCTGTTCGAGCTGACAAATAGGGAAATACAAGTACCGAGTCATTTTGCCACGGATGAATTTTATTTATGTGTTATTCTTATTTCACGTATTTAACGAAATTAGCTCCCATTCTGTCTAATTTTTTTCTCATTTTTGATAATATTTTTCACCACTTTGAGCCTGAAAAATGCTGCCTGTCTTTTTGCGACAAATCGATCATTGCAAAAAAATCAGCTGATCAAAAGTGAAACAAATGAAAAACCCCTTGCTGTGCTCATAGAGGTGGACTTTTAACTGGATCGCAGAACTATTGATTCGCCATTTTGATTCTTAGGTAGGCGGCCGGTATTTTTCGACCGAATCAATCATTGAGCAAGAATCGAGTATTGGGAAAAAGTCGACTAATCGAAATTAAAATAAAAGAAAAACTCCTTGCTCTTTTAATATAGATGGATTAGGCAAATGAAGTGTGCTTATGCTTGTCCCCTTCTTCTCTCTCAAGGATTTTTTGGGGTATTCATGTGGCCAGTGAGTTTCCTTTGCCGACTTTTTGGGATTTCCTCGGGAGGGTGCAATTTTATGAAATTACTAATCACATACTTTTTCAGTGCAATTTTCACGAAACTATTATTAAACAGTTGTTTACCTTGTCTTCATATGCTTAGGCGAAGTCTGATGAAGGGCAGGCGCCGACAACAGCTATTGCTGGGACAAACACCTGGGTAGGAACGACCTTCACTCACGACCAGGATGGAAAGATGACGGCGAAATTCAAGAGACTAATGGGAATTAAAGGTGATGCTGCTCCTGCTGCTCAGACGACAGGATCTAAACCAGACATTCTCAAGAAACAAGAAGAAATGTTTAACAACATGGAACAACAGTACGAAGTGGCTAGAGCAACCACTCACACTCAGAGAGGCGTAGGGTTGGGCTATGCAAGTGGGACTTACCAATTTCCACGATAGATATTAATAAGTATTTCATTGATTGATCGAATTCAATTAGTGAACAGTACGAGATAAAAGTTTTCGAAATTTCTGAAAGAATGTTGAAAAGAATGAAAAATCTAATTGAAAAACTTTGTAAAGTCACTCGATGAAAAGAAAGAATGGGAGAAGATAATTTCCGAATTTGTGATGAAAATGAGTATTTCATACTTAATATATAATAATAGTGTCAATCAAATTATTGTTTGGAGGAGAATTGTAGGATAGAAATCGGTAGAATGATGTCATTCGATGGAAATGATGCCACGGAAAAATGTCAGCAAATGTTTGTGTCACTCTGTCCATGAGGCAGCGCTTATCTCATCTGTGAACGCTGTTAAATAGGCGCAATTATGGAAAATTTTGTTAGGCAGTCAGGTGAAAAAGAATTTTCTAGCGCATGCTAAACAGTTACTCTGTTTCTCAAACAGCTTCGTATTCACCAGGAGAGTTTTATTCGATCATGGAACAGGAATAACTATTTCAGTTCTAATAACATGTACAGAATTAGATTGCAAACGGAAAATTTGATGCTAAACATGACGATTTCTCTCTTCCCCATCCTGAAACAAATGATCTTGAAAGCAAAATTGAGGAGAAATGAATTTATACGTGAGCGCGGTTTCCATGCTCCAGTTCTGCTACTCAATAGTAGTTACGTCACCAATGAGTTTATAAAAGATACAAAAAACAAATAAATAAATTAAAGATAATAACATTGAACGTATTCACATTTTTCTCTGCTGTTATAAAATATACCATTTATTTACAGTTTATTTCCTCATCTCTTCATGAATTAATTTCAAAATGATAAAAAATGAAGATTTTCATTTATACACAGATTATTTAATTTGCTGTATTTTTTTTGTTTCCGTTAAGTTCTTTGATAGAAAATGTTGAAATTCAATTTTTGAAAGACGGCAGCCATTTCTGGCCTATGTATAGCTAATCCATTGGAGCACCAATTCCCCACCAGAATTAAATGATTGTACACCTCCTTATTAGCTACTCCAGCCTTCCTGTCCATCAATTGGGACAAGTCTTTTTTCGTTTCAAACCAGTAATTAACTAAATCCTTCAAGTATTTGTGATCTGATCGTGACTCATCATAGATTGGAAGACCAGTGGCTAATTCAAACATTACGACTCCATATGAGTAAGTATCGACTTTTTTCGAAAGTGTTTTGTTCATCAGGAATTCATCCGGAAGATAGGGCCTTGTTCCTTGAATTTTACTGATCTGAAAATAAATGAGTCTTTCAAACCAAAACTAGTCAATCAATAATTTTGTATGCGAATTTCAAGTGGTTTAAGGATAATCAAGTGAGATAGAAGGAATAAAAAATACTGCCAATATTATAAATATTTTTCAATACACTGATGAATTCATTAAGCAACTATTCGCGAGATTTCAGATAATCTAGGAGCAGGTAGACAACATTGATAAATCCTAAACTTACGACTTATGCATGAGGTTAAAAGGAGTATCAATAAGTAGAAAAAATGTAAAAGTCATCTATCTCCCATCTAGCCTTATGTATGAACAGAAACTTAAAATTTCTTGTATGCTGTTACTCTACTCTCAGGCTGTAAAATCTTATACACAAGACAGAATGCGCGGTACAGCGCGCTGAAATTATAGAAATCATGATAGGAAATTTCAAAATTAAGTGAGTCCTGAATTCAAATTTGCAGTCTCAAATGACCGAACCAACGAAGAATAAGCATGACAGGCTTCCAAGATATCGATGGTCTCCATGCTTGTCCTTTTGCTATTTTCGATTTTCCAATTTTATCTAGAAATTATGTAGAACTCTCTGATAGGTAAAAATATGAAGTTGGAGGGCGATGTGTATGTGTGCGGATGGTTAACTTTTAGAAAAGGGTAAAAATAAATGGGTAAATGGATTCTAAAAAATTTGATTTTGTCAGGTCGGAGGTCCTAATGCGGATTGGACTAAATTTCAGCTCGATCAGTCCCGTAGTTGTCGAGATATCGTTCATTGCTTCTGAAAAGTTTTTTGCAAATATCTTAGAAACTATCCAACCAACTTCATTTCTTGTTGCAGTGTGCTGTATAGATTAGTCAGAATATATATATATATGTACATATATATCAGTTCAGGGGGACTCTTCCTACGAAATTTTCAAAATAAACTGAACTCAACTCATAATTGTACGTGGATCTATTCAACATAATTTACCTTCATTGAATCCTCCTGAGATCCCTCCCTAGCGAGTCCAAAGTCTCCAATTCTGGGCTCAAAATTTTTATCCAGTAGAATATTAGCACTCTTAATATCTCCATGAATCAGAGGTTTTTCTCCAATCTCGTGTAAATACTGAAGACCCCTTGCCGTGCCTTTGGCAATCTCATGTCTCTGTAGCCACGTGAGAGGCTGCGAACCGTATTTCAATTGTAATCTATCAGCCACGGATCCATTTGCCATGAATTGATACACGAGACAAGGTGCGTCTCCGCCCATGCTAAAGGCGTAGAGAGACAAAATATTCTCATGAGGACGAGAATTCAGGATAGTTAGCTCCCTTAGTAATTGTTGGAGCTGTTGTATGTAACTGTCATCTGTCTCTGGACCTTTTCTCTCAATTTTTTTAATTGCAACTTCAGTATTCTTCCAAAGTCCTGGAATAAAAATAATGCAGGTTTTTATATTTCATCACTCAGCAGATTTTTGAATCGTTTTGAAATTGGGAAATTTTTCCATCCATAAATATTGGAACGTTACTGACCAAGTACAAAACTTTAGATTTTTACATTTTGTTTTAAGGATAATCCGGCGAGGTAGAGAAATTGAAAAAAAGGAATGGATGTTATGACCACTTGATACTTTAATTAATTTATTAAATAACGATATGGAAAATTTCAAAGTTGCTGCTCATACATATGATTAAACGGGGCATTGACAACTGTCACACTTTTTCTACCTTGTCGGTTAGTAGTCGACATGGTGGGAAATATATTGAGCTTGTTTTTTTTTTTTGATGATCCATTTAACTCCATGCATATAAGTAGTAAGTTTTGGGCTAGTTAATGTTATTCTTCTGCTTCTCGACTATCTGAAATTGTGCAGATCGTTGGTTAGTGAATTCATGAATATTTTTTCAAATGTTCCTGATATTGACCGCTTTTATTAACGCTCTCTGGCCTGAATATCCTTAAAAATCGATTAAGCGGCATATGCTCTTTAGTCAGTTACTTATAAAAAACGGCTCTCACAATAACTGTCTCATTAATAAAGAATTCGCCTTTGATTGAGAGAAAATTGATAAACAATAATCATTTCCTAAATTAGAGGACTATCGAGAATATGCGAAGAATTTGTATGTCTGAAATTACACAAGATAAAAATGACACTTATTATGACAGCAGCAGAATCGTACTTCCGCAAATATGGAATTCTACGAGTCAATAAAATTTCATTATGTAATTTACATAAAATTGGGAACAATAACTGAATTATCACGATAATGAACAATCCCAACGCAAAATATCATGACTTTTTAAATATCTCAGACAATCATCTAACCGTAAAGCGGACTTTAACGTTTCCGCCATCGAATCTCTAAGCAATCAACGGATCAAAAAAATAGTGGATGATCAACAAATAAACATTTTTCACCTCTGAAAACAGTTCCAAATCCTCCTTTTCCTAGTACCCGTTCTGGATTCCACCTGTCCGTAGCACGACTAAGCTCCTCATACGAGATTTGCGGTAGTGTTGTTTCCTTTCCAAAAGAAAATCCATGGCCTTTCAAACACCGAGTTCCAGCGCGGGCAGGAATAGATGAAAGCCTCGATCCAGCTCCGGGAGTCACCACGAGTAAATTATTAGAGTTGCTGGGCACTGCTTGAAGTGGGCTGCATATTTCTGGTTTATTCATAATCTTGACACTATCTCTAATCCCTCTATTTCTTGGGATAAGCATTTTCTCTACAACAGGGATTTGATGAGTGGCGTGATTGAAATTTTGAGTTCCAATCTTCGAGTCTTTCTGCGACTGTTTTTTTCTGCCCAGAACCGCCTGCAAGTTCCCTTGACCTCGTTCAATTAATTTGTGATACTTAGAATGCACGAAGCGTTTGAGGACCAACATGGCACGGTAATGCTGCATTTGAGATAGTAATCCAAATAATTCGGATATCGTGTGATTGTGGTGACCCCAAAGTTCTAAAAGATGGTCCGTCGGGTTTTTCTCCTGTTGGAGGGATGATATTGTGGAACGAGCGTAATTCATCCATGTCCCTGAGTGGGTCAATTATGTTGTATTAGCAGTTGTAAGACGGCAATATTAAATTGGAATAGAAATTGTCAAGTACAATTCGTTAATTGGGTGTACTCGACCCCTAACAAATCAATTGCTTTTTAATGTATTTCTATGTGACGGTCTCCAAATCGGTAAACCGATCTAAACGCAGAAGTGACGTGATTGAGGCAAATTGTAATCACACTTGTATCTCGCCCCATTTCCGCTACAACTGTTGTTGAGTTAACAGATGGCAAATTTTATAGAGTGAATAAATCTGTAGAGATATCACAAATTATACTCCATCGTACCGCCAATGAGCCCATTATTGCTATTGTCTCCGTGCCTGCCAATTTCCACGGTTTTTCAGGTATATCGATGCGAACATTATTTTTAAATCAAAAGCTTTCGCCATGAATCCCTTGAATAATATACCCTGCCCCATCGTGCAAAAAATTGAGAATTCCCATCTATACGAAGTGTTTATTAATTTACCCACGAATGTGGCAGAAGCGCTGAACACACTCAAACAGCTCAGGATCTCTAGGACAGGTGGGGGTGCACGCCTCAGTTTTTGGTCGATTCCTCCAGAATGTAAGTATATAAACCATGATAGATTATATGTATCTGATCCAAAATGATCAATTATTGGAGTAGAATCATAAAAAATCTATGGAACTATATTTTTTATCAGAAAATATTCATGGCAATGATTGGCACGTGCCGAGTGTTCATGGCACGAGTGATCTACGTGTCAGTGAGGGCCACTCGTTTTCACAATGCTAAAGAACAAGTACAGAACCTCGTACAACCGAAAAAAAGATGAGAGAATACTCGAATGAAGCAGGCTTAAGGCAGACCGAGTGAATCTGAGAGAATTGAAGAAGAAAAATGTAAAAATGACAAGGGAGACTCGAAAATTGACAAAGGAAAAGTGGATCGAGGAGAAAAGGATGGAAAAGGAATTTTCTGCCTACATGCGCCGAAAGTGAGCATTCTAACCTCACTTCGTTCAGTTAGAAACGTCACTTTCGCCGCATATCGGCAGAAAAATCGTATGCAACCCTCGGGAGGATAATCAGACAAGCATTTCCCACGTGCATACCACCCTCGCCTTCAGCTCGGGTGATAATTTTGCACGTGGGAAGGACTTGTCTACTTTTCCTCCCTAGGTGAGCAGTATACTATGAACGCGAAGATGTAAATTGAGAAAGAGGAGGGAAAGACTTTGAAGAAGAATAATTCTAGAACATCCGAAATTGGAGTGAGAAAGAAGCAAGAGGAAAAAATTAGCAGTGAATCACCGAAAATTGCTAAACCAATAAAGAAAGAGCTGATTAATAGAACTGAAAATGATGAGGCTGACGTCATAAATATAAACGCTAAAGCAACTGAAGAATAATTAATAACTATCAATAGTGATGATAATAATAATAATCCCCATCATTATTTGTCGTATTACGTAAATTTTATAAATATATTCTATTATTCATATTATTTTTATCTTTTAATAATAATTTGAAACGATTCGGAACTTGAGTGGCAATAACTGGCCCAATCATAATTCGTGTCTCGGTCTCGAGATTGAATCCCTGAAGTAGACGACCCATGTTCATTTTCCTATGGTCTATTATTTTGGGTGGGTTTTTACACGTTTTTCATGTGTGGGTTATTTTTTCCTGGTCTATTTTTTCTGCCTTTGTGGCCTTTTCTTTGTATGACTTATCATATGCAGATTTTGCAAAAGCGAAATTCGAAAATAGATTTCAGATGAACCACCCTGATGCTCACCCAATGCTCTTCCCACATTCGCACCCACGGGCGACTCGCCTCAGATGACCGGTGTTAGATATTTTGACACCTGAGGCCTCACATTCGGAACAGTTCATTTCTATCCTATGAAGATCATATAATTAGGTCATGTGGCCTCTCAAATTACATCACCTGCCACCTTGTGACACTTTACTCTGTCTTTAGCATACCCGCATGTCGAAGCGTGTATACGCGTTTCTTGCGGAACTGCTCGTTAATCGTTTTCTCCAGAACCTTAATCATCTTTTTCTCGTTTCCGCTCAAACAATCAACTTGTGAGCCGCTCAATGTTAGGATTTTTTAAATTGAATTATTATGATCAGCTCAGTGACTTTTTATAAATAAATAATTTCTTTTTTTTTATTTATTTAACTTTAGTGGCGTCTATAAAAAAACCGCGTACAATATGATTTATTGGACCTGCTCATCATCTCACGTAATCCGCTCATTCCCACCGAACCAGACATCTTATGGAACAGAATACCTTTTTGAATCCTTTGAAATAGTTCATGAAGAATAGCCGTGGTGAAGAAAATGAATATATTCGCGATGAGAATTCCAAGGTCTGGCGATGAGAACAGGGCTGGGAAAACCTTGACTCAGCTCACTAAGGCTCGGTGACTTGGGCCCGACCCTGGCTTGATTCATCTTTTCATCTTTCATCTTTTTCATCTGATTCATATTTTTCTGGAGTGTGATTTGAGTGGCGGTGGTTTAAGTGGTTTAAGAGGCTATTGGCGAGACTCATTTGAGCCCTAGCCCAGACTGAGGATCAAAATGCTGAAACCACCAGGGCTCACTTGCCCCTTAGGCAGGTCTCAAAAGTGGAAAGACTCAGAACCATTTGTTGTTCATTTTTCTTATACTTAAGATGAAGCAACGGAAGGGATCCGGTCAGTAATGCATCCCGTCCCAGGAAAACCTGACTAAGCAGTATTGTGGTGATACTCGAGTTGCTCTCCAACGAGAACTGTTTGACAATGGACTAGCAATGAAAATGGACTAGAAAAGAAAACTAGAAATTAATTAGAGTTGAAACAAATAATTAAGAAAACCTTCGCAATTCTCGATAAATCCAAATAGAAATTTATTCTGGGCAGTACATACAAGCTCTGATTGTCGGAAGGAACATCCACTACTCCCGAAATTTATCCTGTCGTACACGAAGGGAAAAACACAGGAAAAATTACGTGACCAATCAAGTAATCGTGGGCTGGAGTGTCATTTCCTTGTTTTTTACTGGAGAACTTGGGAAAAAATGAGAGACAAACAGTAAATTTTATTATTTGTTCTGGAAAATTTACGTGACTGTCATGTAATTTCTTACGAACTTGTAACATTTACCACAGTTGCGGAAAAAATTCTTCCGAGTAATGTAAAAATTATCCAGTTTCTCTTAAATTTTACGTGAGGCACCGTAATTTTTACGTGACCGAATTGAAAAATTTCTAGACAGCGTTGGTGGTACGACTGTTGGTCATACCCGATCGCGAATCATTGTCTAAGTTCGGTTCACGCCACCCGGCAAATTATTATTGTCGGAAGGATAATTAGCATATTATGCCTCTAGGGAGTCAAGTATTTCCTGACGAAATGTGAGTATAATCACATGAGTCAGAAAATACTTTATTTCCGTGAGGCACACGATATTTTATCCTCGTAGGGACTGGAAACTGCGATCTAACCCAGCGAAGCGAGGTCAGAATCGTACTTTCCAGTTCCGGCGGAATTTACGGAACTGAATACCGTAATTTTTCTCCCTCTAAAGGTGACTTTTTATCGACTGAGTGGTAAAATGTTCTAAATGATTTTTTCCGATTCGACATTTTTTCCGATTTTACATTTCGTCCCACGTTTACCTTTCACACATGAATTTTTACTGAACTTTTTACGTCTTTTTTCAGTATTTTTCTCTCCATGTAGGAATAAAAATCTTTTGAATACCGGAAAACTTCGAAACATTAGAAAATTCGGTTCAACAGTTAAACCTCGATAAAAGAAAATCCTCGAAACACAATTAAACCTCGATACAGATAAAACAGAAAACCGTGGAAATACGGATAAATAAAAACCTCGAATTTTAAATAAACCAAAATATAGATTTTCCTCCCCAGCGAGAGCAAAGTACACACTTCCCGCTGCGCGGGAGGGAATTCTGACTTGGCTCCTACGCCAGAGAGAAAAATGATGTTCTCACCACGGAAGGTAAAATAAAGAAGGCTTACCCAGGTGCTTATCACCCTTGCCTTCGGCTCGGGCAATAATTCAGCACGTGGGCAAGCCTTCTTTACTTTACCTCCTTAGGTGAGAAATATACTATTACACATTAAAAATTTACTGTTAATAAATAGTGTAAGTCTCATAAATCGACCCTGGACAACTGAAGCATTCGGTAAATGAGCAATATTTCTTAATTAAAATTATTAATTAAACATTCACGAAAAACTTCCATTACAAGAGCTAGAAGACGACCACCAATGATGCTGGTGAACAGTCAGTTCGGTCTCAATATACACGTGTCGTTAGATAACGCGCTACGTGTAACCAAGTGACAATAGATTTATTCTAAACATTATCTCAGTGTCGTTCGTGTACGATTGGAATGCCTGCCCGTATATCCTGACGCTGGGCGAACCCCCCGTAGTTCTAGCCGATTGAGTAGCTGAAGCATGGTTCCACGGGCGACCTGAGGCTCACGAGGGAAATCAAGCCGAGGAAAAAGGCTTCAAACATCACACCTAACTTAAAGAAAAAATTGACTTTTTAGGCCAGACCTCGTCCTCGTCTTACGTGTTTAAGCGGTCAATATTGCCCGCGCGGGAAGGTGATATGGCTAGGCCTAAAAAAAATCGTTATATTGATAAACGCAGAAAAATTTCCATTTAAGGGACTTCCGCAGTGAGTAAATGGGAATAGAAAGAAATACACGAAAGCGTTGAAATTTCCAGTATATATCTGGATCGGGACTAAAAATATGTAGCCGAAGTCCGAAAACAATGGGCCACATATTTTTTTTTAATTAATTATTTAAGACATGCCATTTGTACAAGCTCTTATGGCACGTAATTTTCAAAAATCAATTAAAAATAATCGACAATCGCCAAAAAATCGATAAACCTGCCGAATCATTCCGTAAACTAATCAAGAAGAGATAAAACGGATTTTTTCCATATGTTACTAAGTGGATTTCGAGTTGTGATTAAAAAATCTATCGTCAATCAGGAAATTTCATCGAAATGACCATCAAACATGGTAACGTTGAGAGGAGGTTGGAGCGCTCCGCGGCGTGGTGGAGGGGGTGGTACGGTAGCGGGACATTCAAATATTCGGGGCTTCCATCAGAATCCACTGGATAGGACAATAAACTCAACAAATATAACCTCTGCAACAAAACAATACCACTCCCACCGCTGTGATATAGGCTATCTTGACTGACAAGCGTACCAACTCCATCTGAATTTTCCCAGTCCTGTTTTTCTAGTCAGCCTTTGGAATTCTTATCAGGCTTATTAATTTTCATTTATTTCATTACATTCATTTTCTCCACTAAAACTATTCATCCACGAATTATTTGCTTCAAATTATTTAATCAAGTTATCGCTCCACCTCAGAATTTTTGACAATTGTTCCACTTTATTCATTGAACTGCTGAAAATAGCGAATCAACACAAAATGATTCTTAAAGGTGATTCTTAATGACGAAAGGATAAAAAAAACGTTTCTAATGTGCCACCTGTTTTGAATGAAGAATCAATATTTATTCTCCGAATTGATGAAACACTTAAAATTCCCACTCGATCGCATGGTCGCCCGCAGCTCGCGAGAAACCCAGTTAGAGGAGCTAACTCGGTTCGGTGGCTAAGGCCTCTTCTCTGAAGCCGAGAACATATTTAAATAGTGTGGGAATTTTGAAACGTTGAAAAAGACCATCAACAGGACTGTCAAAGAACATTTAATTACAAAAATAGTATATTGTGCATCAAGGGCGCAAAGTCATGTTGTTCTGCCCGAGGGGCACATGCTATTTTTCAACATGCCTGCAAAGGGCACTTTGTGTTTTGCTATCTGAAGAGCGGAAGAAAAGTGAATATTTTCCCCCTAGAGTGGAAAGTTGCTCCCAAGGTCGAAAATTTCTCACTGGGAGAGAAGCAAACTGTGTACTTACGTTCCATCTTTCATTTTTCCATTTCAGATCGATTGACGAGATATAAGTTAATATTGTTTACAAAATAATTTCTGTTAAACCACGGATTTTATACTGCAAAATTTTCAGATTCAAAAACAGAGATTTCTGAAATAAAAGCCAAGGAGACATACATATGACCAGAGGGAAACGATATTATAATGTTTATTTATTTTTTCTATTACATGTCCAACTTCAATCTTTCCATTCATGACCATATTCGAACAGAATAATGTATAAAGGGAAGAGTCAAATCACTCGAGTCACCGTACCGTGATGTCTCAGCGAACTTTTGTTTTCTGTTTTCCAATATAAAATATCGGTTTTCCAATACGTTGGTAAACCTTACCTTATTATGGACGATGACGATACGCTGATACCTGTTAATTACGTCACGTACACAATAATAATTTTAACTCATTTAGACGATTCGGATTCTTTCCGTTCCTATTTATGTAGGATAGATATGTCCATTCAAATAAATGTAAACATATGGATTAATAGTCGAGGAAGAAAAGCAAAATAAAACAATGGGTTTTTATTGTTTATATCGTTAGAAAGATTAAGTTCTGGGGTTTGTCAATTCATAAATATTGATTATTTCAGTTAACGATTCAAAGTGGTGTAAGATCAATTATGGAAATTCATTGACACTTCATACAAACTGGCTATGAATATGCAGTAAAAATGATTCGAAAGAAAAATTGTTATCCATAAGATGATAAGACGAGATGATTCAGCTCAGTAGAGAACTGCGGAGGGGGGATAAGTGAATTCCGCTCTGGCTCAGTTTGTCCATTTAAAACTGTCTGAAACGTACAAATACGAAGTTTGAAGGCCATGTGTGTGTTGGGATGGTCAGATGATGGACTTGATCTGTACTTCATTTCAGCCCGATCGGTAGAGTAATTTTCGAGATATCAGTGATTGCTTCTAAAACGATCTTCTTGAAAATTTCATAAACGACTCAACTAATTTAAGTTTTCTTTTATTTGAAATATTTGTCTATAGTGCTCTATCTAGATTGACCGAAGAGATTTGCACGCCCCATGAAAAGTATTAGAAAATTTCCATTTTTCGAAATAGCTACAGATCCATTTGGAAGTTTACTACCAATTGTATTGGTAGACATGAAAAATGAGAAAAATAGCTGTATGTCACTCAGCCCACTCTAACCGTGCTTATATTGCCGTATTTTTTAGGGAGGTGAGCTCAGGCGATATCTTCACATGTTGAATGGCCGCTTATTGTCTTCTTTTTGACTTACCTCCCTAGGGCAATAAAAATACTTGGTTAGTAGGGCTTCGGAACATAAAGTAACATATGCTACATGATCTGAAGAGCATTTTAGCACCATATTTGATTAGAATATTGGTGAAAGATCTTCCCAAGATACTTCTGAGCCCTTGTGGCATAAATTACTATTGCTGCTAAATCTGTTTAGTAAAAAGCAACGGATAAAACTGATTATCAGTCCGCCTACGAATCCAGCCTTTTGGAGTCGATTTTTATTCAATGCAGTAACATTAGGTAAGCTCTGTCCGTTAACTATTCTCCAACATCATGTCTGCCCCATAACTTATGGGCCATAAGCCATCCCTCCACGGTATCTAACCTCCCAAATGAAATTGTGGCGAATCACAACATTCATGTTGAATTCCTGATATTATTAAAAAATTATCCATATTCCCCTACCTAGACTTATATTCCGATAATGTTGATGAAGACCCTCATATCTTCAGCTTCAAACTCATCTCATAGCGAGATAAGGAAAATTAAAAAAAAAACAGTTTAACATTGATTTAAATTCAAACCGTGAACAAAAAAAAAACATAAATATCTTGAAAATTGGATCCGAAAAAGTGAACCCTTTTCACCAGGACAAAAATATTAATATGTGGAGCTCAATCACCAAATATAGAATAACCGTTACATTAATTTCCCATCCTCCATCACGCAATATGTTTAAACTAGTATTTCTAAGAAACGAGGAAAAATTCTTACCCGCAAGTTCCTCCCAGGAGTCATTCTGGTTTAATAATTTACACAATTCATCTCGCTCAAAAAATGGTAAATCGTATATATAAACGATCTCTTTATCATTCACTGATTGAGACATTGGGGAAAGCTTTTTCAAGTTGTAATTATTTTAAGCATGCAGTTCTCAAGAGGAAAACAATAACACAACACCTATGTTATAAGGATGATTCAGAGGAAGAATTCTGCGCGTTTTATGTCGACATAAAAACTTATTTTTTCGCGCCCGTTAGATGGCGCGTTTGCTGTATTTACGTCCATTTGAATAGGCATCGCCGTATACTTGGCGCAATAATTAATGTGAATCATTAATTAACCTAGCAAATAATTTGGAAATAATTTGGGGAATTTTAGTGAGAGGGTTTCATAATTTGGGGAGAACTCGTTGATTAATTATTCATTTTTTTTAATTAAAGCGTATAGTTAGCGAAAATTTTTTATTTTTCATTTTTCTGAATTGAAAATTACATAGAAACATTTGGGGAATCGATTTCTGTAGATTTCATAATTTGGGGAATTGACAAAGAGTTGATAATTAATAAATTGAATAATTAAATCAATTTCCAGCCGTGCGCGTGCGCGCATGCATACCCGTTCCATCGTTCGTAATCGGGCGCACTAATTAATGGTAATCATTAATTAACCTATGAAATAATCAGGAAATACTTTGGGGAAATTTAGGGAGTAGGCTTCATAATTTGAGAAGACCTCGTTAATTGATTATCAATTTTTTAAACTTAACATACGTAATTAGCGAAACCTTTTTTTTTTAAGAGAGAATCATTTGGGGAATTTATCCCAACTGTTCTTCTATTTTGAAAAATTGAAAAAATTTCAATAATTAATAAACCAGTTCACTGTTGCTAGTTTTTGAAAAATCGAAA